AAACATTCTAAGGGAATCTGTTCCATAGAGAAGTTTGCGCGAAGAAGCTCTTTGAACGGAACTTATTTCTCGCCAATGGAACACAGAGGGAATGTGGGTGGTATGGTACTATGTAAGTGCAATGGCGGGTCCTAGCTATGAAGGTCACACCTGGTGGAAACAGTACATGTAGTTCGTGCGATCTCTTTCTGTGCTAGTAGCGACCAAGCAGTGAGAGGCTCGTCACGTCCCGCCTTTGAGAGAGTGTTTGGAGTGTAGAAAAAATTCTTCTCCCAGAAGGACTCGGGGACGCTTTTGACTGGAAACCGAGGCCTGCGCATCTCCTGTCTAAATACGGTTATCTGTTTAATTTAAACAAGAAAGTCTTTTAGTATTTTTGTTTCTAAATTTAAAGACATTTTATTGATGCTAGATTGTTTGCTTTCTAAAATTTAAAGCGTTTGTTATGCATTGTTCAAAATGTTCTACATTTAAAGGGAAGAATGCTCAATATGTAACGGGCAGCCCAACATTCGTAATCCCAAACTCTTCATTTATTAATTTAATCTTTTGCTCAAGTGGGTAGCCACTTTGATGAACCGATTTCATAAGCTTTATAGATGGTCATAAAACACAAAACACTTAAAACCGAGATAAAAGTAAACGTTTATGTGTGTATTCCTACCATAATGTCACACGCTAGCTACTACCTAATTCACGAACTATTAGTACTCACAATCCTGGCCTTACATAAGCTTTATATGTATTCTTATTCTTTCTTTTCTATTGCTTTATTACAGACGTGTCTGAACATATAGTCACACACACATATTCACATACAAAAACACAAATATAATATATATATATATATATATATATATATATATATATATACATAATTATTCACACAAAACTAATGCAAGGTTAATGATTTAAATGGCGAGACATCCATAAATCAAAACAATTCAAATAATTACACAAAAACCTCCAGATCCGTTATGAATGAATTGATCCTTGTTTATATAAATTTCTGCCGTATTAGTTGTTTTTTAAGCTTTCGTCTGTTCCTACAGACATCTTCAGGTATATAATAGATGTTGTTCTTGTTTTTTTCTCTTAGTAATAAGATGACATCGAAAAATATATGTATTGTATCGAAATGCTATTGAAAATGAGTTATTGGTTTTTTAGACAGCGCCGAAGCAACGCTGAGTTTGATTTTAAATTTTTAAAATATTTGCGTTTTATACCAAATATGGTGATGAACAAATTATTTTACTGGTAAATTTTACTGTCAAAGTGGCATGAACTATATTGTTCAATAATTACATTAATGTAAATGTATTAATTAATGTAAATTAATTTAAATCATTAACCTTTGCATTAGTTTTGTGTGAATAATTCATAATTCATGTATTTGTAAATTGATTGCACGTTTATTGTAATTTAAATAACTGATCCATGTGCGACTTTTGGATAATAAGTGCGACATTACTGTAATTATTGAACAATATAGTTCATGCCACTTTGACAGTAAAATTTACCAGTAAAATAATTTGTTCATCACCATATTTGGTATAAACGCAAACATTTAAAAAAATTTAAAATCAAACTCAGCGTTGCTTCGGCGCGTTCAAAAAACCAATAACTCATTTTCAATAGCATTTCGGATACAATACACATATATTTTCGATGTCATCTTATTACTAAGAGAAAAAAACAAGAACAACATCTATTATATACCTGAAGATGTCTGTAGGAACAGACGAAAGCTTGTAGTAAAAATAACAACTAATACGGCAGAAATTTATATAAACAGGGATCAATTCATTCATAACGGATCTGGAGGTTTTTGGGTACTATTTGAATTGGTTGCGAGATGGATGTCTCGCCATTTAAATCATTAACCTTTTGCATTAGTTTTGTGTGAATAATTCATGTATTTGTAAATTGATTGTATGTTTATTGTAATATATATATATATATATATATATATATATATATATATATATATATATATATATATATGAAAAGTTCATATAAATATAAATAAATATATATATGTATAATTATATATATTATATATGGTACTTATTAGAAAGCGCTCAATATCAGAGATAGAGCTAACATATTTGGTTGGATAGATGTGAGTTTGTGACCCTGGGTTTCACGCTTTAGCGATCGTCAGACAAACTGATTAATTTTTTTTTTTCTTTTAATCAGTTTGTCTGACGATCGCTAAAGCGTGAAACTCAGGGTCACAAACTCACATCTATCCAATATATATATATATATATATATATATATATATATATATATATATATATATATATATATATATATATATGTCAATTTGCTGTTTTTATATATAATTTAATCTTTCTTTCATGCATCGCTATCTTATAAAATTCTCTGTAGAACATCACCGATTCAGAATTGGAAAAAGGCATTTATGAAGTGCATCTGGTTAAGAAGATTTACCATATATTTATTATATGGGTGCCATAATGTTCGCAACATTGTGGATGTAGGTTGATGAAACGATAGATGGTTCGTGGTCGATTTCAATTCAGTTTTTATTTTTACATTCATTTACGCGCAAATACTTATGAGAAAGTCATAAAACAACCTTATCCCTCGTCTAGTGGTTAAATAGGGGGACGTATACCTGGAAAGATCATTGTTTGTCTCAAATTTATAAAAAAAAACATTTCTTGAAATCAACGTCATCAATTAATTTTTTTTATTCTAAATACCTGTATTTAATAAACTCTAAATTATTTAATTTAAGGTTGTTTGTTATAAGGCATTGGAGTATTTTTTTTCTATCACTTTTATGTCAAACTGCATGTAAGATGATTCACGCTCAAAAATTTCTTACAAATGATGTTTTGAGTTGATGTGTCATAAAATTCAATCTATCGGAAAATTGTATATTTCCTTAATTAACGCATGGACACGATGAACCACTTTTCTTCATTATGTGGCGACAATATTGCCGTATAATTAAAAAAAAAGAACAATTGCATTGAACATATTACGATATCGAAAAGGAAATATCAATTATGATAGAAGGTCACGGAGAATCCTGTCATCAAGAATACGTTTCATTCTCATTTCAACACGCAGATTTTTTAAACATTATTTTTAATCATTTCACCCCAAGCAAGGCGGACTGCCACTAGTACGCAGGCATTTAAAAGGTTTGAAAGATGAAAGAAAAGATCGAGAAAAGGGAGGATTGAGGAAAGGACAAAAGCTGAACAGGGTTAAAGAAAACGGAAGATGGATATTGATGTTGCATTTAAAATGTTGAAGATTTTACTTATCAGGAAGTATGTAAATGAAAACGAGTTCCACAGGTGGAAGCGAAAGAAAGTGAACCATTAGAGTAGAAGTGGCGGTAGAATTTAGCTTTTAAACGTTACAAGTTGGGACCTACATTCCAATCTAGTTGAACGGTTAAATTAATGTAATTGGGTCACCAGGGAAAAAAGCTCGTCAGAGCAGTTGCTGTGAAGATGTTTGTGGAAAAAACAGCGGGAAGCCACGTCACGTCGATGATAAGGTGTCTGATGACGAGTTGCTAAGTCAGGGCCCATTACATTACAGATCATTCATTGGACTTTGTCAAGAATCCTGATTTATACAACAGAATCACCAGACCAGATATGGCAACAGTATTGCTTGGATCTCCAGATCAGATATGGTAACAGTATTGCTTGGAGCTCCAGATCAGATATGGTAACAGTATTGCTTGGATTTCCAGATCAGATATGGTAACAGTATTGCTTGGATCTCCAGATCAGATATGGTAACAGTATTGCTTGGATCTCCAGACCAGATATGGCAACAGTATTGCTTGGATCTCCAGAACAGATATGGTAACAGTATTGCTTGGATCAACAGACCAGATATGGCAACAGTATTGCTTGGATCTCCAGACCAGATATGGCAGCACTATTGCTTGGATCTCCAGACCAGATATGGTAACAGTATTGCTTGTTATCACTTAAGTCAGATATAGTCCGAAAAAGCAATATTCAATGCACGGACGAATGGTAGATTTTAAATGTTCAAAATGGATTCAGACAATAAAGAATTTCTGGCATGACTCAGTGACCCAATTTTCTATGCAATAGTTGAGGCTATTGCTTCGATGTAATCGCTCCACTTCAAGTCAGTAGAAAACGTGAGGCCAAGAAGTCGCATCGTATCTCCCTCCTAGAGTCTATCGTTAGCCATGCAGTTGACAGACAGAACACGTTCTCTATGGTGCTACATAAGACACGAAAATAAATGTGACTTTCAAACAAACACGAGACGTTCCTTTAAAGGACAAGTTTTAGTCAATCAAAAGAAAAATCCTACGGGACGCGTTTCCTCCTTTAAAAGACTTCTTCAGGTTAAAAATATTTATATTGATGGAATTATATATATTTAGAGAGACACAACGAAATGCAAATAAATAATGCTTATTGACACAAACGCCGGAAATGGAGGAAAGTTTAATTTTAAATTTAAATTTCAGTTAATGTATTTTAATTAACAACCTAGCGGACATCGTTCAGCTTTCAAGCGCTTATATTTTTCATTTTTAATAGAGCGTTTCCGTGTTCCATCGAAATTCATTTTATCCATTTCCTGTTATTCAAAATGCATAGCTGTTGAGAGTAAGCACGACTCCTTGGAATTAATAATTCGAATAAAAATCTACTTACATTGTATTTTTTATGTATTTATTTACCCATTTTTAAACATTTCTTATTAACCCATCAACGATTTGGTCAAAATGGACAAACAAACGGGAGATACAATACATAGCAAACGGCAGAAAACAGGAATAATGAAAACATTGACTTAGGAAATCGTTTAAAACATTGGAAGAAGAAAAATTGCGCAGGTAGTTACCATCTGCTAATATAATTAAAATGTATTCTAATCGGCTTTTTGAACACGTCTAAAATCTTGCTATTGACTGTCGAAAGAGGGATAGTTTTCCATTCATTCAAAATAGGTTTACAGCCATATGACGTTGAAACACCGGTTTCCCTTACGGTCATCGAAGTTAAGTAACGTCGAGCCTTGTAAGTACCCAAATGGGTGACAACTTGGGAATACCAAGTGCTGTTATGCTATAATATTGTAATTTTGGTGTAAAGGATAATGGCTCGGAATTGTTAATCGGAGAGCCGGGTTCTAATTCCAGTTGGTTTCCCTATGTTCCTTTACGCGCAAATATTATTGGCAAAGATATGAATCAACATATTTACCGACCCAGCTATGGGTTAATTAGTAGTACTTTTATCATTAAATCATTATTATTTCAGAAAAAAAACATATCTTACAATCTAGAAGTGTTTTCTGGCTTTAAATAACTTACAACGGGTTGATAAGCCGTAGAAAACGAATAATTCAATCAACCATTCTCTACAGGCTGTGAAAAAAGAATATTTCCTTACGTTCAGACGACAGAGGAGAGTTTGAATTTTTAATATATGCCCGCTTGGGAATTTTTACTACATTCTGTTGAAATGTTTCTTGAAACCTACGTCATCAATTAAATTCACTATTCTAAATAACTGTAGGATATAAACTAAGAATTTTACTTTAAAATCTATTTGTTTAAGGCATATTTTTAATTTCAGGAATCATCTTGGTAAAGCATTTTTGTACGTTTTTTTTTCTATCTGTTTTATATTACTGCGTTTGAAAGAGCCACCCACACGGAATATAGACTAAAATAAGACCGGCTATTTAAATATAAAGCTTGAGAAAGGCTATTTACGCTGTGTGGAAAAGGTTATTGGTGTTATGGCTTGTAAGCAGTGGGTATTATTTTGAATATAACTGCATTGAATTGAAGTCTTTCGATCAGAGGTCATAATTTCACCAAAGTCTTTTTTCTTTGATAGTGTAGCATGACCAAAATTTTCACTGAAAATTGTTAAATGAGATGAATAATTTAAGCGATCAATACCAGAGGTCTTTCTAAGAGATAACAAAGCACGATCTCTACACGGTGTCATATTAGAATGTCAAAAGAGCTAGGTGCCACAAATGGTTGACCATGAAGACAATCTCGTAGGAAGATTCAGGTCTTAAATAAAGTCGATTGGTGCGCAAGAAGCAAACCTATCTGAATTTAGTATATATTTACGCATAAAACAATTAGATGACAGGAGGTTATATAAACGTATAAACAGAAAGAGCACTAACAGAGTTCCCCTCATGAGACGACCATTGAACGTTTTAGTAAACCTAATATCGCATATCCTTCACAACTGGTGTTAATCTAACGGAGACCGGGCGTACATTTACGTATAGAAGGTTTTGTATTGTTGTAGAAGTTACGACACTACTGAGGTTGACTCATCCGCTCGTAAGAATACGGAAACATTTTCTAAAGCATTCTTGTAGAATATGTCTCCTTCGACCTTCGACCTACTATATTTATCAGAATCCAAAAATATCTCCATGTTTAATATTGGTTCTGTTCATAAAATAACCACATTTAAATCGATCCCTGACTTCTTAAAAAGCTATGTATAATTTACTTTTTTTTTTTACAAATGTCAAGTTTGAAACTGTGCTTACGTCATTGATATATGAGTACTAATGATGTTGTTATTTCCACAGTTTATAATGGTACGCAGGTTTCAATTATGTAAACAGAGATATTCGTAAATAAAATATTACAAATATATTTTTATGAAGTCAGATGCCAATCTGATACTGCCTTTATATTATGACGAGAAGTACCCATTTATTTTGATGATTGTAAATATTATCGCTTCCAGACCGAAACTATTATTCTTAGCCAACATAGAGAACTATATTTACCTTCCATCAGTATGGATGATGCTAAGATATAGAAGAGTATTGCATTTTTGTGGTGTGATGAGTCCCACTAACATTAAATGTAATGAATATAACGAATCAATTGTTAGGTCTGCTGCTAAAAAAGTTGGTTCCCTGTCTCGTCCGAGACAATGTTTCCCGCCAGAATTCATATTGCACATTTATAAATCTACCATGCAGTAGACATTTCTGCTATATCTGGTCTGCTGCTCGTGATATATATATATCGTGCTTCTCAACAAAACCGAACAAGGGATTCTGATGTAATTCGTCCTTTCCTGACCTGGAAGCTGAATTTCAATCACTTTCGCACCACCGTGACGTGGCTTCTGTGTAATTTCTATAAATATTTTCATGGAGATTTTTCTACATCGACCGCCTAAATTTAAGCAACTATGTCTCACCGCTTTACCACTGAAATAATTAGACGCAAACCATAAGTTATATTCTAATAATTTACTTTCTTACATTTCTAGTTTGTGGAACTCTCTTCTGATTTTCTTGTTTCCCTGATCTTCAGAAACTTATAATCAAGTTCAATTGCTATGGTCTGTTTTCCTGAAGTCTGTTGATATATTTTCCTCTAACGTCTTCTCAATTTTCGTTCACTCTCAGTAAGTCTTTACATCTTTATAGCATTATCGTCTTGCTTTTGGTGAATTGATTTTAAACAACATGCTGAACAATGTTGGATCGCAAGCCATATAAGAACAGAGGAATTAGAGGAAATAACCCAACAGATTCTGCCGTAAGGTCTCCCCAAGATGAAACGCTTGATAGTAGTTTCAGGATCCGTTATACGGACATGAAAGATAAAATATAAACTTTCATTCAACTGAACTGGCAGAAACGCTGAACAGACAGCGTTAATAACCTTCGCATTATCAAACCGGTCCTAGTTGAATTGAAGCAGGTGTATGGAAAATGAGGTAACGTTGGCTCGGCTACACATAGGCCACTCATATCTCATGTATTCATACTTCTTGAAGAATGAATATCAACCAACATGCACAACATGCCCAACCGTACTCACGGTGAAACACGTTTTAAATGAATGTACTTACTTCGCACTTGTAAGACAGGTATACTACAAGGAAACCAACGCGAGGTAACTTTTTAAAAATACTGAAACCATCAACATAATGGCATACCTTTGAAAAAACAGGTTCATATCAAAACATATCGCAATTACATCGACAAACCACATCCTGAAATTATAAAATTATCTACAAAATATCTGTAGCTGAAGGCTAAAACTGCGTTAAAAATATATGTAGTTGAAGCAATAAAATCGCTTACAAAATATTTAGATTTCGGCATTAAACAACCCTTAGAGTAATTGTCCCCAAACACCGAGGATCGCTTCATAGTTGCGGCGGAAGAGGATAGCAGGTGAGGCGGGCGGAATGATTGAAAGACAATTAAAGATTTAGAAAGAGATTCAAAAAAATCAAATGCTAAAAATAAATATAACTTCAAAATCTGTAATTTGGATTACTTGTAATTGCATGCACGAGTCCCAGTATAAATAGTTATTAACAATTATTGAGCGTTTTTATCATAGTGATATTTTTGCATTATATCAAGTATTAATAATATAGTAACTAGGTTCCGTAAATTGGAGGAAAGAGTTATCAATGATAATGTTCTGACTTCGAATCTGGGATTATCTACCTTAACCCTATCTTTGTTTTTTATGTTTTTATTTTTAAATGTACTTTTTATCACATAAAGTTTGGTGAGGTGCGAGCAAATTTTCATTCTGAAAATGCGACCCAGAGAAAAGTTTGGGAAACCGATGCCATAGAAGTTCGATATCCTGCTAAATAGGCATCAAATCTTTGCTGAATATCGTGGTGGATTGTAATGATTGCATACGGGTGGTTCCAGAAAAAAATGATTTTCTGCATCTGCTTTTAAATGGAAAAAAGAACATTATTACATAACAAGTGAACTCCCGAAATAATGTTACATTCTTATTCTGATGATTGACACGTGTAAACATTATATGTTTGCTTCGCAAAAAGGGTAATGATATTAGAGCTATCATTACATGTTTTATTCATCTTCGTGTTATATCTTCGATCTATATGTATGCTTTTTTTTATATCAGTGCTGTCAGATCGTCACCTCGGCCTTCGATCCTACCTCTGCAAGTGCATCTCATTATTTTACGTTTCTTTCATTCACTTATTTTTACATGTCAAGTATGAATATATGCGTTTGCAATTATATCACGACGTAAGCGCTGTAACTGCTTACATAGGCTGCTTCGGAAAAACTTCATTTTGTGCTTAGACATGTATCTAAGTAATTGGAAAAAAATGTTATCTCGCCCGACCTAAATATGTTTTGGATCTTTAACTTTACGTGGATGATGTGCGTATAGTAAAATTGTTCAATGCCTTTTCGGAGGGAGGTCAGGTATCCGTCTTTTCCTCTCCTAGCTATTTGTTATTTAGCAACAAAGAGTATTTTTTTAACCTAGAGGGAATCTGTGGGATAGCGATTGGAGACTAGATGCCAGATCAGGACCTATCATCTTGCATATTCGTCTCTGGATTTTGTCAAGGACCTCGATACATACAGCGGGAGTACCAGACCATATATGATAGCAATATTCCATGCAAGGACGGATGATTGATTTATAGATTTGAAGGATGAACTCAGATGATAATAACTTTCTGGAACGACACAGAGAACCAACTTTCCTTGTTCCATTATCTTTCTCGATAAGTCAAGCAATTCACAGTTAATAAAGAATATGGCTATGCGGTGAATTATGATGGCTTATGTCCTACTTTTTGAAAATTAAGAATTATAGCAAAATGCAAAAAGAGGGTAATGGTTACAATTCCAAAAGTGTAACCGGTGAGGTGAGGTCAATTTTAGAAAGGTATGAATTCATCTCTTCCTCGCCCCATAAGTTATGAGTTAAATAGCAGTGCAGTACTTTGTGTCCTTGGTTGATATTATCGGAGAAACCAACTGAATGCAAAAAGAGTTTGTGAGATAGTGGCCAGAGATAAGATCGTTCCTTTGTGTCCTTAGTTAATAATATAGGAAAAACCAACTGAATGAAAAAATAGTTGGTGAGATAATGGCCGGAGAGAAGTTCGCTAGACCCGATTAAAAACACCCATCACCTAGTAGCGTCAGCCATTCTGAAGGTGGCCCGTAAAAGCACACATTCACTGACATTCTTACATGATTAATCCTACAAAAATAATTGTTTACTTACTATAGCTTTCACTATTCAGATACATAACAAG